TACAAGAGAGGCTGGATAGATTTTTTGGATCCCCAAGGTAGTTGTTAAAGTTTGACAAGGCAGTAGTAGTGCATGGAGCAAAGCAATCCTCAGACCACTCTCTTTTGTTTCTAGATTGGAGCCCAGATCAGCAGAAAACCAGAAAGAGATTCCTCTTTGAAGCCAGCTGGATTGAGGAAGAAGGAGTAAGGAGAGTTATAGAGGAATCCTTTCGAAACTACAACCTTAGGGGGTCTATGTTTCAGTTCCAGTCTAAATTAAAAGCCTGTAAGGCTGGTCTGATTAGTTGGAGGAAGACGTGGAATAGAAATGCGAGAATGCACATTGATGAAATAAAAAAGGAAATGGTGGCTATACAAGAAAGTGGAGAAGAAAGGGACTGGGGAAAGTGGGGAGAGTTGAAAGCCAAATTAGATAGTGCATATAAAAAAGAGGAAGAGTTTTGGTGCAGAAAGTCAAGAATACAATGGCTTAAAGAGGGGGATAAAAACACCAAGTTCTTTTACGCGGTAACAGCGGAAGGAGGAAGATGAACTGTATTGAAAGACTAGTCACAGCTAATGGGGAAGAAATCACAGGAGAACAAGAACTTGGAGGAGAGATTTCCAATTATTTCCAATCTCTATTTCAGTCTTCAAACCCCAGAGCATCGAATGAAACCCTATAGGAGATCTCGAGCTCAATATCGGCAAGCATGAATGAAGATCTGATCAAAGAGGTCATATTAGAGTAAGTTCAGGAGGCTATGCTTGCAATGCACCCACACAAAGCACCCGGTCCAGATGGTATGACTCCTCTATTTCATCAGAAAAATTGGGATATTATTAATCTTCATTATTTGCTGTTGTTTGTAGTTTTTTTAACTCTAATTCCATGCTATCTGCTTTCAACCATACATTTATTTCTTTGATTCCTAAAGTAAAAAAACCCAAAAAAAGTATCTGACTACTGGCCGATTTCCTTATGCAATGTGGTATACAAAATAATTTCGAAAATCCTTGCTGAAAGAATTAAGCCTCTGCTGGCTCTCTGTGTTAGCCCCAATCAGCCAGCTTTTATTCCAGGTAGACAAATTTTGGACAACATCATCATAGCACATGAGTGCTTTCACTACTTAAATAAAATGAGAAGTACAAACTCTTGCTACTTAGCTCTCAAATTAGATATGGTAAAAGCTTTTGACAGAGTGGAGTGGTGTTTTGTAGAAAAAGTTATGCTCAAAATGGGCTTTCATGTAAAGTTTGTCAGTTGGATAGTTAAATACACGGACTCAGCTTCCTTTTCTTTCTTGGTGAATGGAGCTCCTCATAATTTTGTCAAACCAACTAGATGAATTAGACAAGGGGATCCCTTGTCCCTTATCTGTTTCTAATAGCTTTAGAGGGGGTACCTAGTTTGATTAGGAAAGCTTGTAAGGAGAAAAAGATGACATGGCTTAAAATTAGTAAGGGTGGTCCAATGATCACTCACCTTTTGTTCGCTGATGATTCAATTCTTTTTTGTAAAGCAGATGAATCTCAGGTATTGCAGATCAGGGATTTGCTAGGAAAATATGAGGAAAGCTCAGGATAACAAGTAAATCTAGCCAAATCCTCCATTTTTTTCAGCAAAAATATTGTCCCTGAAGTACGTGTCAAAATCTGCGAAGTTTTGCATGGGGTCATGGAGTAGAGCAAGTGCAAATACCTGGGATTACCAGTGGTGGTGGGGAGGTCTAAGGAGGTGTTTGATTTTGTGAAGGAGAGGGTAGAGAAGAAAAATTGCAAACTGGAAATCAAGGTTTCTGAGTAAGGTTGGAAAGAAGGTTTTATTGAAAGCGGTGGTAATGACCCTACCAGTCTACTATATGTCTTGCTACAAAATTCCTCAAGAGTTGTGTAGAGACATCAACAACATGGCTGCAAAGTATTGGTGTGGTGAAGGAGAAAGGGGGAAGACATCAACAACATGGCCCCAAAGTATTGGTTGGGTGAAGGAGAATTGGGGAATAAAATCCATTGGTTGTCATGGAAGAAGTTATCTATGGATAAGGAGGAAGGGGGCTTGGGATTCAAGGATTTGTAGGCTTTTAATAAAGCCTTATTGGGTAAACAAGTGTGGAGAATAATCACAGAACCCAATACTCTAGTTTCAAAGGTGTTAAAAAGCAAATACTTTCCTAAAACTAACATACTTCAGGCAGTTCCAAAAAAAGGGATTCATGGATATGGAAGGGCTTATGTATTGGGAGGGAAGTTGTAAAGGAGGGAAGCCGATGGTTTATAGGGGATGGTAGGAGCATAAGAATATGGGAGGACTATTGGCTACCTTCTGAAATCATGAAGAAGCCTTTTTCAAGGAAGCCTTAGGGGTGCATGTTAGAGAGGGTCAAAGATCTCTTTAGCGAAAGCCATACAGGGTGGGATTTCAATAAAATGAGGAGTCTATTTTCAGACGAGGAAGTGAATTTAATTAGAACCATTCCAGTCAGCATCTCGGGGGCTAGGGATAGACTAGGGTGGAAGTTTGAAAAGGCGGGGAACTACTCAGTATCATCAGCCTATAAATTGGCCCTCAAACTGGAAAATTATGGGAATGAAGAAGGGGAGAGTAGTATGGCTGCACAAAGGGACAAATTGATCTGGAAAGGAGTCTAGAAGTTAAAGGTGAAAGGAAAAATCCAGCATTTCCTCTAGAATTGTTGCGAAACACGTTGTCAGTGGGGAACATTGGAGAGAGTTGATTCATCGTTCTCCGTTTCATTTATATTTACCTCAACAACTCCTGCAAAAGTGGGGTAAGTGTGAGCCATTATCCAATGTAGCTCAAAAATAATACTGAACTACTGAAGTGTGGATAAACGTGGGGGGTCAAGGTGCAGAAAAACTAGCCCACATTATCTACTACTTTTAGTAAATTCATTAGAAGAGATAAAGAGTAAATAAATGTGGGGCTACATGTACTAACTTGGAAGGGAGAACCTCACCCTTTACTCTCTTCCACTATACTTGCTCTAAGAGCAAGTCCAACGGAAGTAAGTGACCTAAAACCTTATGCCACTTACTTCCACACTTAACTCTCCTATTGGGAGAGTTGATTCATTGCTCTCTGTACTATTTGCTTTTACGTGAACAACTCCTGCAAAGTGGTGTGGTTGTATGCCAGTTATGTTTTCACTTTTCAGCCTCTTTTTATTTATTGAGGAAAAAAGGCATAAAATTTGAGGCAAATGAGAAATATTGCTCGATAGATGCTTTCTTTTTTTTGCTCATTATGTCTACATAAAATTTGTGCCAATTTTTTTTCCCACATTATCTTTTGATTTAAATTTTTAGTCTCATAAAAAATTTTGCAGGTTATCAATTCCAAGCAAATTTGGTTGAACATATTTGGCTACGATTTGGACACAACTATAATGAAAATTAAAGAAATTTTATCTTTTAATATGATTTAATTTGTATTTTTATTTTGTACCTTTATTGTGTCATTTTGTACTTTTAAATTTTTTCGTGTTTTTAATTATGATGTGTGTTATGTACCTTACATTAAATTTATTTTAATTAAGGATTAAATATTTTGTTTGATCTATAAATTTATTAATTTTTCTTCTTTTACAAATAGTAGGAAAAAAAATAAAATGTGCCAGGAAATCACATGTAGTTCGAAAATAAAATGATGTACCAAAATGTTATGATAAAATTGATGAAGCATGCTCAAACGTAGGGACAAAGTGCTGAGAAATTGGCCACGTCTTTTACTATTTTAGGTAAATTTATTGGATGTGATGCAGAGTAAATAAATGTGGGCCAACTTATGCTGAGTTGGAGAAGGAAGCCCCACAATTTACCAAGTTCCGTTGCACTTGGTGAGCAACATGTAGAAGAAATCTTTTGCCCAATGACAATTACCATTCCGGTCAATTTTTTCTCCCTTCTTTGCAAATAATTTTTACTTTTTTTTTAATAAAAGGGAAGGGCTAGCCTGTACTAAAGTAATGGCTGGCCCACATTTGACCCCCAAATGTCAAGTAATAACAGAAGCTTCATTCCCATTTGAGTCTCCTGCATGCAATGGGAGGAAGTAACAACATTGGTAATAGACCCAACTTCTCATGACAGTTACCAAGCACTAGTGTTGCTCTAGTATAAATCACATGCAGAAGAATGAATCACTTCTATTCGATGAAAAATAAGTGGAAGTACGTGGGGTTGTAAGTGACGCGTGCTTTTAGGCCACTAACTTCCACTATACATGCTCTTACGTAATTAGAGCAAGTGCAATGGTTGAAAATAGAGTTGAAAAACATGCCACTTAGAGCAATCTCGATGCAAATGGAATAAAAAGTGGTCCAATGCAGTTCTTATCAATAAGAGTGCAATAAGAGTTACCAAGTTGTGTATTATAAGGCCCATCATTACCGTATCCCTCTTTTTTTCTTTTTTTTTCCCTTCTTTTACTGTCTATAAAAAATTGTTGGCCTACATTTTACTTGTAATAACAGAACACACGGACTTTTTACTTTTAACACTCTCCAATGGGAGGAAATTGTTTGATAGTAATTGGCACATATTTTCATGCCAATTACCAAGCATTGGGTTTGCTCTTACAACTCCAGTCAAACCTCTTCCATTGGATATAGTCGAGTCATACCTTTACGTCAATTTTTTTTACTTCCCTGCAAATTCTTGCAAAATGTGACGTAAAAGATGGACCATCTTGATTTTTGGGATAGAAATTAAAGTGCGAGGGAGACAAGAGTGCATAAAATTAGCCCACTTAACTTATTAATTTTGGATAAATTCAGTACAAGAAGTTATAGAGTAAAAAGAGTGAGCTTGGTTTGTAACACCAATGACATTCTCTTTTATATTTCGTAACACTACCATATTTTTTAATAATTCCGTGATATATTTTTTTTAAATAATAAAATGATGAAATTTGTATTACAGTTTTATTTTATTAAAGAAGAAATAGTTCAAAAGCGAAATTAGTACTGCAATTGTCATTTTCGCAAATTAGAAATGAGTTTGGATGGCCAGACTTTTCCTTTTATTGTCTCCCTCCGAAGGGCCAAGATTGGTACTTGGTAGCATAGCCTGGAACATGATCACTTTGCTATCCCTTGAGGCCTCCCCATTTTCTTCTGCACTTTCTTTCGCTCTCACAAACAAATTTCCTAACACAACACAAACGAGAGAGAGATTGAGAACCCTCATTGGAAAAATTGGAGGTAAAAAATGAGCTTGGGCAACAATAAGAAAGTGTTAGTAGTGGGAGGAACAGGGTACTTGGGCCAACATCTACTACATGGGTTTTCAGAGAATCAAGAAAAATGCAGTCTTGCCTTAGCATTCACTCATCATAGTGCCCCTCCTCCTCAACCATTGCTCCAAGCCATTCCTCAAGCTCTTCCTTTTCAAGTTGATCTGAGAACTGGTGATGGGTTTGATTCTATCTCGGAAAAGTTCGGGCAGGTCAGGAACTCATCAACTCGCAAATTTTCTCTTTTATTGATATGTTATAGCTATATCTGTACTGGGATTTGCCCATTTTGCTAACATATTAATTAGTCGTGAGAATGTAGTTTGGTGTTCTTGTTGGCGTTGCAATTTGCTGATTTGTATGCCAATTTTGCTTTTTAGCCAGATGTTGTGGTTAATTGTGCTGCAATGTCTGTTCCTCGTGCCTGTGAGATTGATCCTACTGCTGCTATGTCGATAAATGTACCTTCTGTTCTTGTTAATTGGATTTCAAGCTTTGGCAATGGCAAGGTTCTTCTCATTCATTTATCAACTGATCAGGGTAAGATACTTGTATCTGTGCTAATGTTTATTTGAGTACTCTAGTCTACAAAAGGCGTTCACTAGTGAAATGAGTTGATTACATTTCTTTCCTTTGCTTACCTAAGATTGATATTGATTTGAGGGGCTAATCTTTGTGTAGAACTGTAGATAGATAGTCGAAATGGAATGAAGGGACTCGTTTCGTTATCTACCTGCAGTTAGTTTAAAGAATAACCAGACACATAGAGACTGCTATTTTGAATTGAGAAACTGCAAATAGTGGCACTAAGAGAATAACAATATTTACTTCTCACTTCTCAGTTCTGGTAGTTACAAGTTTTAATATTTTGAGGATGTTGACAAAAGGCTGAAACTTCATTTGTATAAGAATTTAGCAAGTAGTGTAAGTGGAGTCTTGCTGATTGAAACAGCCTAGTAGCTTTTGGCCCAAACCTAATTTGCCGCAAAAGTTATGCCTTTTTACGAACTTGGAGTAAGGTCTAAATCTAAAAGGGACATCTGAAGCTAAATCTGATGAGATGTTATTTTAAGGTGTACATTCACCATGTGAAGCCTACTAAAAAAAGTAAAATTCTCAATTGAAATAATAGCAAGTGCCAATTGAATTTTTTAGCTGTTCAATGTATAATTCTTTCATCTGCTTGTGTTTGTTCCGACACAACTATTCCCACTAAAGAACATCAATCTTTATTCTATATGCATCATTTTATGGGTTTTGTTTAAGATGATTAAAATTCTTTATACAAAAGTATGTGAAGGATCAAAACCCTTATATAAGAAAGAGGATGAAATTGTTTCTGTCTTTATGGAAAGTTCCATCTTTATTCTCTTTGCATTGTTACATGCATCTGTTTTGTCTAAGATGATTAAACTTCTTTGTAACTTCTTTGTTCATTAGTTTATGAAGGAACAAAATCTTTCTATAAGGAAGAGGATGAAGTTGTTCCTGTGAATGTTTATGGAAAATCAAAAGTGGCTGCTGAGCAATTTATCAGTACATGCTGCTCAAACTTTGCAATATTGAGAAGCAGCATAATAGTTGGGCCACAAACAATCTCACCAGTCCCAAAGTCACTCCCTATTCAGGTACCTTGTGCATGAAGCTTCTTCTTTGTCAAAGTTCTTCTTTACCATCTTTGGTATTGATTTCTGCTTTTGACAGTACCAGTTCTTACTGATATGTGCTTATATATTCGCCCCTGGTCGTCATTTCTTGTTTCTGTTCACGAATGTGTCATATCTGGTGAAAAACATAGAATTGGAACTTTTAGTTTTACTTTAGATTATGAAGATTCTGAGAGAAATTCATAGGTTGGAAAATTTATTTTTTGACTTCTCTTAATGCTCTTTGATCAAATGATATGCTTTACTTAAGTAGCAGTGGTTTTTGCAAATTTAGTTCTACATAGCTTGATAGTAGTGCAAAAAGCCACATTCAGTTTTTGGCATTGGCTAAAAGTCTGATCTCTTGATCCCGATCTTACTGGAATTCTTTTATTCATCAATCATTTCACGTGTTTAGAGAGGCAGTTTCTTCTTTCCTTGATTTGTGATGTTTGGTGACTTTAAATAATGAATAATAACCACTCCACCATTTGTAATTATGTGCTGAAAATGAAATTCAACCATTAAATGTTTTGTTTACTGAAATCTTACGCTTCGCATGATGCTGGATTGTGTAATCCTTTCATAGAATGTTGACAAATGCATGCTTGACACAGTGGATGGATGGGGTCCTTACCAAGGGTGAGCCAATTGAATTTTTCCACGATGAGTATCGTTGTCCTGTCTATGTGAAGGACCTGGTGACCATTATACAAGCTTTGACTACCAGATGGATATCAGGTTTGAGAGGATTTCTGTTCATGTCATGTCCGACTTCACGCGATAGTTACTTTTGTCATTGGTTGTCTTTACGTCTTGGTTTTGCTGGTGTTTTAATTTGTTCTGAGATCTCTGTGGGATACATGTTTTTGTTGTTTAATTTCTCCATCCTTTCGATGCTGTGAATGAAGCATTATCCATCCCTCATGAAATAATTCATTTCTGTAGCAAAATATGTACATATATAGGTCAACTTTATTACTCCCAAATATCGTAAAACAACACGTTTTGCACTTCCAGAAGGTAAACAGTGAAATTATGTTGGAAGGAAGGGTGACACCTAAATTTAAATGGTCAGAAGACTGAAAGAAAACCAACGTAGCCAATGCTTGCCCTTGTGATTATCTCACATTGTTTAACCCATGCAGTAGGTTGAAACCAGAGAGCCACTTATTACATGTTTCCCCTGTGTCTCTTTCAAAGCACCTCTTGGTTTACAAAGGCTTTAAATTTGTGTATCATCTGAAAATAATATATCCCATGATCAGTTCTATGTGGTAAAAGTGAAAAAAATGAAATTTTCTTTCCACAATCTTTCTTGTTGCAGTTTAGTTCTCCTCAACTTCATTTCACTAAGTCATGAGCTATCCTTGGTGCTTGGATTCTTTGCAGAGGGTAAACCAATGCATTTGCTCCTGAATGTTGGTGGCCCAGATAGGGTATCGCGAGTTCAAATGGCTGAGGCAGTTGCTCATGTCAGAGGTTATAAAGCTGCATTAATCAAGCCGGTCTCTGCATCATCGGTACGTGTACTGCATTTTGTTGTAAATCATGTAAAAGCCTTTCCGAATGGGTTAAAGACTAGGTTTTACATCTGTTAGCCTTCACTAGCCCCGCATAAAAGATTGATCATGCTTTCTGCGCTCAATACACATCATTAACAAATTTCTCTTTCATCACCATGCTTTGGACTCCTGTTTGAAAATGCATTTTCGATTCGCAGGTTGATCGTGGTGTCAAGTCCCCATCAGATATATCAATGGACACTAGTAAACTCATTCAGACGCTGGGTATAAAGCCTACTAACTTTATTGATGGTGTCCGATTGACCCTTGAATGCTGAACTTAATCCAAATTATTTTGACTCATTTCCTAAATATTGATCAATGCTTTTTATTGGCCCTCTTCGGAGGAACTTAGGTACAAAATAAGTTTTTTTTTTTTTTTAAAATTATTTCCCCAGTTCTTCTGGTTGCTGTAACTGTAAGCCTGTGACCAAACCATATGCTTTTGGTACAAAAAGGAGCCTAAAATTTTGGTACAAAAAGGTAAAGAGATAAAACGTCAATTTTTTGCATATGCCTTTTTGTTTGGTGCCATGGGCGTCCATGCTCTTCTATTTAACACGGATTTACGCGGAGAATCGAATTTGATGCTTCTTTACTTGTCTGACTGGTTCAGATTTTCATAGTAAAGTTTGGTCTTGTAATCCTAAATTCCATTCATGTGCTGATGTCTCAATTCTGGGAATTATTCTTCTTCTGGAATGACTTCTCTTTCCGGGCAGAGTTTCCATGCCACCAAGATGGAACAATTCTACATACTCATAATGGAAATTTGATTAGTCATATGAAAAGAAAGAGCTACTTTTCGTGTGTTGGTTGGGTGGTAGATAGATTACAAAATACATAACCATTTGTAACACGACATTATAACATATTAAATACTATTTCTGTCTCTAAAATAATAGTCCACAGACAGAGATAGTACCATAATTAACAAGTCATGTGTGTAATGTTTCGAGTTCATGTTGTTAATAAGGGCAGATGATTGCAACCCTTAAGTGGCGGTGAGGAGGCCATCTAACTTAAACTCAAATGGGTGTGATTGTGTTCAATAAAGCGTAAATTATTGGATGTGGAATTATACTGTCAGACATCAATTAACAGCATATATTCTCAAGATTAGGGTAGAATCAGATCCCAATAACGTTATCAGACTTCATTCTTTAGTAGTACTATGATTATTAACATATTCTTCAATCTCCATACTGTAAACTGAAAAAATAAAAAGCAGAAAATCTACCTCTCCGCATTCGTGAAATTGTTAAACAATCTCAATAATCCTTCTTAAAAGAGTAATGATAATACCTAAATAACTTACCTTATCATTTCACTTTACATGACATCTACTGATTGGACAATGCATTTGTTATTTAAATCTAAATGAATTAAATTAAAATATCATTATATATCTTATTAATATTCGGCGTACTTATTATATTTTGTTTAGTTATTATTTTACCCTAAAAGGTTTACTTTTTTAGGGGTTAGGGTCTATTTATTTTAAAATTTTAGACATATAAGTATTCAAAAACTAAAATAAATCTAACAAAGTAATTATGAAATTAACTTATTAGATTTTATCTAATAATTATTTAACTTATTAAATTTCATCCAATAACTAAATACCATATAAGGTGAGATACATTAGGTGAGATGTGTAACATCACTCATTTTAAAAATACGTTGCATCCGTATTTCTTTAATTTTATAAAATGATTTTGGACAAAACAATTATTTCTAAATATGGAAAGTTCAAGGAAAATTTAACCATCTTGTGTGCGAAAGAGTATAGTTCTTCAAAAAACAAGGAAAAAAGAAAGATAGAACAAAATTTTGAAGTAATAATGAAAGAAACTTTGAGATTTTGTGCAAACTACTGATCGAATTTCAAAGTTTTATGAACAACCAGTAATTTCCTTCAACATTTCAAACTACAGACAGATAACATTGTCACCCGTAACAATCTATTCTTATTCTCTTGTATAAAGGCGGGGGAGGGAGGAGTTCTACAGTACTTTCGTGTTGCACCCCCCTCTCACTTCAATTTTTTTTTTTGTTAGCAAAATAAGATAAATAGTATAATAGTAACTCCACAACTTCATTTATTTACTCTACCACGTACATCGTAAAAAAAGCCAAATCTGAAGGTTTTTGTCATTTGTTACCCTTTTCTCTTTTTTTTTTTTTTTCCTTTTACTAATTAAACTATTTTAATAGACTTTTAGATAGTGTTATTATAGAAAATTTCAAATTCTTTTTATATAATTATAACTCTATCTCTCTCAAAATAATTGTCCCAACTAAATATTATTTCCCTGATCGTCTTTCCAAAAAAACAAAAATTTCCGAAACCTTTTTGTGTTATTGATGCAAAACCCTATTTGCATTTTTCTCAATTATATGCAAATATTTAATTGATATGACAGCATTTATAAAATTTCATTTAACAAAGTGATTATTATTACTTTGAATGTTTACAATTGTTAGTTAAATTAATAAAACATATTATTTTACAACTGTATTACTAAAAATCGCCCACGCGTAGGTGTGGGCAAGAAAAACCTAGTAATACCATAAAGTACATTTTGTTGTCTGATTTGTAGTATTATTTTTTGTTTAACCGTCTGATAAATTGAGTTTTACCGCACTAAAAACCCAAAAAAAAAATAAAAAAAAAAATTCCAAAACATTCCTCTAAAATCTAAATTCCAAGTCATATTAACCCAACCCAGTTAAAAACGGGAACTTTCCTTTCATTGGCTACTTTCCACACCGTAAGCCTGCCCGCCATTACACAACATTGGGATTGGGCAGCTCCTCCGCGGTCCAACCAAACGGCTTTCCTCCACCACTGACTCACTGACCGAACCCAACTCAGTCCTCTATTCGTCAACGCGCTCTTCACTTCCTTGTCGGCTCTCTCTTTCTCTCTCTTCTCTTCCCCTGCCCGTAAAAAGCGCGGTGGACCAGTTCTCTCTTGAGTCCAAAATCTTCGTCGGTTCTCGTCATCCTCCGCTTTTTGAACTCCCCTGCAGTCAAATTTCTTCAACTCACTCCGTAATCGATCAATTCTGTTTACCATAATTGTCGTCAGTATATATTCCTCCATATCCTCCCTACTGTGTGACTGCGTGTGTTTTGTTAATGGTGTGGGAATTGGAATCAGTGCCCCTATATTAAATAGGCATTGTTAGTGTGAGAGTTAATTTGAGTTTGGTGCTTTGCTTGAAAGAGACGTTGTAGTCAGCGAAATTGGATAAACCGTGAGGTTCAATTCGATCACTTCAATTTCGATTCTACTCTTTTGATTTATTTATTACTGGAATGAACTTGACTTGTTGAGGAACTTCCTTCTTGGTGTGATTTTTTTTTTTTTTTTGGGTTTGCAGTAGTTCTGTTTTGCACAGAGGATGTGGAGGATTGTAGCTCGATCTGCCGCAATGTCGGGCCTCCGCGGATCGCGGAGGATGGCGTCGACGGCGATGTCTGGTCCTTGTATCATTCGCAAGCGCGGTGCTGATATTCTCCACGATCCGTGGTTTAATAAGGTGATCATTTCTCCCCTTTCTTCGCCATCATTGCATTTGCGTTTCCTTTTGTCTGCAATGCTTGATTGCTGTTTGTAGCTGCTGGACGTAGGATGTGGGTTGGTAATTATTAGAGTTTTTCATCTTTGGTATTTGACTGTAAGTTACAACGAGACTGTTTTAGCAGGGCAGGAGTGATTATTATTTATTTATTTCTTTTCCTGATCAACACTGAAAGCTGAAGAATCCAAAAGAAACAAAAAAAATAAGGAAAAAATTGTACGGGATAATTAATGCGAGTGATTGTCAGAAATAGGTAGACATTTGAAGGACGGATGTAGGATGACTAGATGAATCTTGATTTTTTGGAGAAATGTCTACAATTTGCTATTCATCCTGGTTTCTACTTGGTTGCTTCACACCTAATAGTCTCAGTTGTCTCACTAAGCTCTAGGCTCATACTGATTGAGTAACTTGTATGCATGGCTGGGTTGCTTTTCTAATTTTAGCGGATTGTACATAATAATGTTTGTGTGCAATAACAGGATACTGGATTCCCAGTAACTGAAAGAGATCGCCTTGGGCTTCGTGGTCTTCTCCCTCCTCGTGTAATATCATTCGAGCAGCAGTATACTCGTTTCAGTAAGTACCTTAAATGAAGTGGTTCTAATTAAGTTATTTGTCGTAGAACCTTATTGATTCTTTTTGTTCTTTTGAGGAATCAGTGCCAGTTTGTTCTAGATGTCTAAGCGAGGACTTAAATTTGGGCAGTTTGATATATAAGTTTAATTTTGGAGACTTTTTTCTCTTAATTTCACCCATTGGGTGTTGGAATAACTTTTAGAGCTGAATCCATGTGGCACTCATCTATAGTTCAAGAATTTTGTTTTTCCGCAATTCCTTAAGTTTTTGGGTTAGCTGGTTTTTATTTTCTGGGAGTATTTTTCTATGAAGATGTGAACTTCTAAAAGTTATAAAGTTTAATAGCATGATTCTGGTGGTTTAATTGTCAGTGGAATCATATCGATCTCTGGAAAAGAATACGCAGGGTCAAAAGGAGGATTTTGTAGCTCTGTCAAAGTGGAGGATTCTAAATAGGCTGCATGACAGAAATGAGACATTATACTACCGTGTAAGTATGACGGCAAATAGTTCTTGTAGAATATTAAACACTTTTTTTAAATATTTACCATCTGATGCAAAGTTGCTTGTTTTTGCAGGTTCTCATCAATAATATCAAAGACTTTGCTCCAATAATATATACACCCACAGTGGGATTGGTTTGTCAAAACTATTCCGGTTTATTTAGACGTCCACGTGGAATGTACTTTAGTGCCAAGGATAAGGGAGAAATGATGTCTATGATCTATAATTGGCCTGCTAGCCAGGTATTGTTTTAACCTTGGATTCTCATTATTATCGACTTAATTCAGTTTTCGGGCTTGAAAATATTGTACACTTAGAACGACATTTGTGCTTTTTCATAAAACTGTACTTCTCCGTTTTTGGCATGGTGATTATTGATTCTCTGTTACAAGGGTTTGCTTGTTGTCTGTTCACTATATTTAGCTATTTGTAATCACGGTTAGTTGGATATTCCTTCCAGATGACCACTGTATAAGGATGTGGGACTTTCCTTTCTGAAGGGGCCAGTGCAGTTTACATATTAGGAGCTACACACTTATCTAGGTTCTTTGTTCTTAGAACTACAAATGCTTGGTTAAATGAGTGACTGAAATTTGGTGATTTAGTGTTTTAGCTTACAAATGATTTGCAGAGTAGGCCAGTAATGTCTTATTTTTAATGGCAGGTTGACATGATTGTTCTGACTGATGGCAGTCGCATACTTGGGCTTGGTGATCTTGGAGTTCAGGGAATTGGTATACCAATTGGAAAGCTTGATATGTACGTGGCAGCTGCAGGGATCAATCCACAGCGTGTATGCCTACTCTCACGTTTGATATGATAGTTACTTTCGAATCTAACTGATGCAAAGCTCTCTATTACAGTGGCAATTATATCTCTGATTACAAAAGTGCTGTCATGATGTTAGCTATATACCTTGTCTTTCTGTGTTTAATAAAATGTTTTGACTTCAATATGACCTGTAGATGACCAATTTGACTTCAATATGACCAGTTAATCACTGTCCTGTAGTAACCTATGCCACTTCTTAACAGATACTCCCAGTTATGCTTGATGTGGGTACCAACAATAAGAGGCTCCTCGAAGATCGACTATGTGAGTTTATTGTACAGTTGCATTTGTTGATGTCTAGTTCCTTCATCATGATCTTTTTCCTTTTCTGCCTATTCTGCTATCTTCAGAGCAGTGCTGATTTTTTGAGTCAGGGTCTTTTATATGAATGTGTTTGCATGTACATAAAGTAAACAGACCTTTGCAATCACTGGAGATGATGCACACATATGACTAGATTACGTAATCACATCTCATGTTAGCTTGACATGTTTGGAGTTCCGAAGGGATCATATCTTTCTGTGGCTTTTCAACATGTTGGTTTTGTGTTTTCTATATCTAACTTGGCTTATCTCTCTGCCTCTTAAATGTATTTATTTTTCTTTCTTATTCCTGCCTCAAGATCCCAGTTCTCAAGTTCTATACTTCTTACTGGCATGATTTAAAAAATAGGGTACAGTTCGGAAAATAACTGTTACAGAAAGCAAACATGCTGTTAATCTTATCATTATTGGCAGTAACATGATGCATTATAGCAGCTTTCATAGTTCAAAACATTAGGCTTTCCGTATAAACTGAGATTGAGCATTTTGAAGGAGCATTTCTGATTTTTTTTCTTAGTTTGATAGATTTAGGTTTGCGTCAACCAAGGTTGGAAGGAGAAGAATATTTATCGATAGTTGATGAATTCATGGAAGCTGTCCATGCTCGTTGGCCTAAGGCTATTGTGCAGGTCAATTTTTGTCCTTTGATGCTTGTTTACCACAATTATTGATTCCGTACTGATTTCTAGTGACTGAAATGATTCTTTCAGTTTGAGGACTTCCAAATGAAGTGGGCATTTGAAACATTGCAACGCTATCGGAACAGATTTTGCATGTTTAATGATGACATACAGGTGATCAACTAGGAGCCAGTCCTTTTCCTATAGATAACTTTATGGATATGAAAGGGATTGCTTTTATTGTGTTCTTTATGGTGTAACTCTGCTTACGTTCTTTCTTGTTACGCAGGGGACAGCAGGTGTTGCACTGGCTGGGCTACTTGGAACTGTTAGATCACAAGGTCGACCGTTAACCGATTTCGCGAATCAAAAGATAGTTGTTGTTGGAGCTGGAAGGTAAGGCAATATGAACTTGTGACATTTTACTGTTGATTGGTAAAATGTTCTTTGTTCTCCAATATTTTTATGCTGCATTGATGTAAAATACCTACTTTTTAATGTTATCTGTATTGCAGTGCGGGGCTCGGTGTTCTTAACATGGCATTACAGGCTGTTTCAAGGATGGCTGGGCCAGTAGCAAACCCTCACTTTTTCCTGCTAGATAAAGATGTATGGTTCTACTGGTTCTGATAATTAACTCATCACTATGTCAATGCTGTAGTACTACTTCCTTATATAGATGTAAAGATGGGTCGTGTATTTGACCCTAGCAGATCACACCTCTCCCCCAACAAAGGGAAAAAGGCTGATACATACTATGCTTACACGCAGGGACTAATTACTAAAGATAGGGATGTCATTGATCCATCTGCTGCTCCATTTGCTAAAGCACATCAAGAGCTTGAGGAATTCGGTCTTAGAGAGGGTGCGAGTCTCACTGAAGTGGTAAACCTTACTAAATGCCTTGCCAGTAGCATTGTGCATTGTAAAAACTGCCATACTCTATGTTTCAGCTTTTCTGGAAAGAACTTCTATATTTTACTCAAGCATATATTTTAATTATGACTTTTGTTGGTCATTCAGCCTTATGCATTTGAGTCTTTTAAAAGATTCTGATAAGTATTGCACATTAATTTTGTTTGTTCAGGTGAAAAAAGTCAAACCTCATGTGCTTCTTGGTTTGTCTGGTTGTGGAGGCATCTTTAATGAAGAGGTGGGTATTCATTCTACTGTATGTTAAATCAGCCTGATATGTACCAAAGGGATCTTTTAAATAACAATGACTATGCCTTTATCCCTTTATGGGGTGTTGGTAACATGGATGATGGATCATATCTCGTCATCGTGTTTTGTGAAAACACATACATCCTGTACAAATGGAAAGTAATTAGCTCAAATTGAATGGGAATGAGAAGATTTGAAAAGACTGCCAAAACAAACTTTGCAAAGAACATAAAACACATGGATAACAACATGCTTTTTTGTTTTTTTTTTTTTAGGAGGGGGGTTAAATCATAACATCATGTTTCCGATAAAACGCAAATGCAAGATATGGTTCTTTTAACTATGTGGCGTAAACGAGTCTTTTGCTTGTGAGGCTTTATTCAATATGGGTGACAGATTGAATGTCGCAAGTACCTGATACTGAAAATCTATTGACATTGGAAAGCAGTTTTCGAATCTTACCAGGTATCGGATTTATTACGTGCCTTTCTGTTTTTTCTTGTAAATTTAGGTGCTCACAGCAATGAAGGAGTCAGACTCCATTAAGCCTGCTATTTTTGCAATGTCAAATCCCACAAAGAATGGTATGCGCTCTGATTTTTTGATTTGCGTATGCTCGTTCTTTAAACTTTCTGACCTATTAAACTCCTTACTGTGTTTCCAACAGCTGAATGCACTGCAAAGGATGCTTTCCAGTTTGCCGGTGAAAATATCGTTTTCGGAAGTGGCAGCCCATTCGAAAATGTTGATCTTGGTATTATACAACTTCTTTTATATTTATCTGTCATATGCTTAGATTTTCTTGGTATGTAGAAGCATATAACATTTTTGTAAATTATTATCTATCATCAGTGTTGATTACAAACTATAGTTTCCATATGTCAAACCTGATTACTGTAAAACTATAGTGGGCTCTAATTTTTCAATAGCCTTCCTTTCCAGGTTAATAATGTCTAGTAGTAAATTAGTTTTATGTTCACTAACTCAAGATCTTCTGTTCAGGTGACGGAAAAGTTGGTCATGTGAATCAAGCAAATAATATGTACCTCTTCCCTGGGTGGGTGTTTATATTTTCAACTTCTTTCAGTCAATATACTTATTACTAGAATAAAAATATTTATACTTGTGTTTGTACTGATTCAGGATTGGTTTGGGAGCTCTTGTATCTGGAGCTCGCATTATTACTGATGGAATGTTGCAAGCTGCAGCAGAATGGTATGGACTGATCTTTAACCACTTCACTCATTTTTCTGATGTTAATTTTTGCGTGAAGACAGATGTAATTCGTAATTCCCTGTAGGTTAAGCTTTCTGTACCACGTGTTTCCTTTGTACCATCAGTAATTCATGTCCTTGCTTTAATTGGGAACCTTGTTCGTTTAACATACTTTATACCTTGTGGCATAATGACTAAGTAGTGTCATTCTGTGTGAAAAGCACAAGTAATTTTGGTCCTCCATGTGTCATCAAATTCCTGCAGATTTGAAGTCTTTGCTCTTTAGATTTGGTTAGTTGTTATATTATGTTTTGTCAGGGGTTCATGTCTTTGCCTGTTGAATAAAATTCTATTGCACTTGTTATTTTTATTTTCTTAATTGATCTTCATCCTTACCTCAGCTTTTTGTTCATTCTACGAGCAGTCAGACACTTCCTTTTTCTTATTATTTTTATTTTCTTAATTGATCTTCATCCCTCAGTTTTTTGTTCATTCTATGAGCAGTAAGACACTTCCTTTTTCTTTTTCTTTTTCCCCTCCCCCTTTACTTAAAAAATCATGGACTGTGGATCAATTCTGCCGGGCATGTTTTATGATTCTATAATCATAGATCAGAGGACTGTGTTGGACGGGGGACTATCGAAGTTATCCACCAAACACCCCCAACGACCCCATCCTCTTGCTTTTTTTTTTTTTTTTTTTCCATATTCTGTAAGATGGCTTTGCTCTTTTCATCACTTGCTGCTCTGTGTTATTATCTGTTTTTTGCAACTGAGAATTATTAAAAAAACCACCACGATGAATTCCTTTTAACTTATACTCCTTTCCCTTCGGCAGCCTTGCTTCATATATGACAGATGAAGAAATTCAGAGAGGAGTTTTGTATCCATCCATTGATTGGTAAAGTTCTCAGTTCTCTAGAAAGTACTTCCATCTTACTGTTGGCAGAGGTAAATTGTTATGAGATGCTTTAAGATTGATAACCGCCACATGAAAAAGGGAAAGAATAAAAGGAAAGCTGTTACAATCAACTACTACATGCAAGTTTTGATCCTTCTTAACCACTGTGACTTAAGCCTCATAGGTCACCAGTAACGTTTTGCTAGAGTTCTACATTACCTCAGATTTTCTTCTTTTGTTCTGGCTTTCTCCATTCATTTTCCCGGTTTAGATTAAAATAATCGTAAATATTTATTTACCAATAAATAGAGAGTAAAATATTGATAAATGAGAAAAAGACCTAAATTCTCAGAGAAATATAACTGGGAGATACTCTTGTTGGGTGGCTGCAGTATTCGGGATATAACAGCAGAGGTTGGAGCAGCAGTTCTCCGAGCAGCTGTTGTTGAAGAGGTAGCTGAAGGATATCATGATGTGGGACCTAAAGAACTTTCAAACATGTCCAGAGTAAGCACATCTTAAACTTCAGTCAGAAGAAAATGAGACTTTCGTAGATGTGTATAGAGCATGGATTTCTAATGCTTCATATAAATACATAACATCATGGTATCATGAATAGATAAAAACATGCCTTTCAGCTGTGTATCTTACTTCTATATTGTTGGTTGCAGGAGGAGACGGTGCTACACGTTAAGAGAAACATGTGGTATCCTGTTTACAGTCCTCTAGTCCATGAAAAATGAACTTCACATTGATTCATGTTTTAGTTTGGAGACCCTAATTTTAAAATTCGCCAGCAGATTGTAACATTCTATATTCATTACATTGGCCTGTCGGGGTTGAATAGAGAAAACAAAAAGAATCAGACAATAGATAAACAACCCTCTCTACAAGTTTTGATCCTTCTTTTAAATCTTTTTGTTACAAAAGAAGTTATGTTACTGCTGTAACGGATAAATATTGTGTACTGGAGCCATTATATTGATGTTTAATCGAAAATGATCAGCGTTTAGTTTAAACTTCTCTTGCGTTGGGTTTGGGATGCTTTGTACTGAGAAATATCCGACATTTGATGAAGCCAGTGATTAAGCTGATTTATTAGTCCAGAGAAGCTGTTTGCAGGGCGGGGTTTAAAATGTATTGTTAGCATTAAAACAGTTCATCTTCATCTTCATCATTGCTTTAAAACAGTTCTAATAGGACAGAACCCGAACTTCATCTGGTTCTCAGTTTCCTCTAGTTAATCCAGGGAGACCTCTGACCAAAGTCGATACTCCACCTGTCCCCAAAATATAGTCCATTCTGTTAAACTAAAACAATACAACAAAGTGAATTTTTTTTTTGAGACCGAAAGAGTAATTTGCAAGAGCGGGTGGGACTTCTTGCATCATATTGATATTGTGGCTGAAGAAATTTCGTCATTTCATTTTTTCGCTTACGTAAATTGAAGTCGGCCCAAGATTTTTTTTACTTTCCTGGGGTATTTTGGATGATAAAGTTTCTTTCTGAAGTCCTTCTCACCAGTTAATGCATTATGTATTGTGTATAATTCATGTCAAAATCATCGGAATGTACTATCTCCAGTTACATTTTCATAACAGCCTTCCAATGTCAATGTATATCCATCTTGTTTTGGTGATTAAAAAAGGTAGTACAAGAATAATGGGGGAATCTCTTTATCCCCTTTTTTCCCTGACGTGAATGGCATCTCCACCCACCAGTGAGGTGGTGAAATCAAACACGAATTCCTGACTCGATATGCAGAACGAATGAAGACCATTAGTTGAGTTTGTACAACCTTGTGAGCTTTATTTCCCATCAATGATTGAGAGCAACATAAATGCTACTTCTAGAAGGACTAGAACGTTACCGTGAATTTAGTTGGTGAACCTGCTGCAGAGTCTCTGAATCGCTTTTTTTTTTTTTTATTTTTTTTTTTAAAACAAGAAACTGTTATGTCTGGATCGCTTATTATTGCGATCAAAATAGTTTAATCAAATAAATGGCATAAATTAGTAGCCATATGTAATTTTCTGGAGATTTTAATTTAATTTGTCTGCATCCTAATTATATTGAAGTGTTTGTAACCAACGAGGAATCCTGCATTATCAATACTCAACATACCTGTATTCGGACTTCGGGATGTTTGATTTCGTGGTCATATTTTGTTTGGAAACATGTTTATTACAAGCAATTATATGGGTGCACGGAATTGCTGATGTCGGGGCAAACTTTCATTCTGACCTTAATATTTTCATTTCCGTGGTAATTTTGCAACCACGAGGTCCACGACACCTCTTCAAATATCGTTGGAAACATTCTACAAATAAATGAATAATACTCGTTCTGTCTCAAAATTATTGTCCAGTTTAAGATTTTAGTTTCAGTAAAATTTAAATCGAATATAAAAACCCAAACTGGACCATGATTCCAGGAGGGGGGAGAAGCAACAGGTTAATAAGAAAGTATGTGAATCCTGAATCTGAGAATACTGTAATCTTCAATTTCGTGGAAATCAGAATACTTTTAAAGACATTTGTACTTAAAATGAAAATTTAAACTGCACAATAATATCGGGGACGAAGGGATTATCTCATTATCTTATTTAAATGAGAGGCTCCAACACACTTTCTGCAGCAAAGGACCAAGATTGCCCATATACAGAGTGAAAATGACAAGTCTAGTTCTGTATCCATCTCCGGGCATGGGTCACCTGATTTCCATGGTGGAGCTCGGAAAATTCATACTGAACCACCACCCTGAATTCGAAATCGTCGTCCTCACCGTCAGCCTCCCTGTCAACACCGGCGCCACCGCTTCATACATCAAAGCCGTTTCTGCTTCCAACACTTCCATCACCTTCATTTCCTTACCCAATGTCACTCTTCCTCACGACCTTAACTCTTACACTGCCATGGAAGCCATAATTTATGACACCCTCCATCTCAGTAACCCTCATGTTCATCAAGCTCTCCAGTCCATTTCTTCAAAGAACAACAATACTACCATCTCTGCATTCATCATAGACTTCTTTTGTTATCCTTCTCTCTCTGTCTCTGCACAACTCAACATTCCTACATATTTCTTCTTCACCTCTGGCGCAAACTGTTTAGCCACTTTTCTGTACTTTCCAACCCTCCATAGATCAACCACCAAAAGTTTTAAGGACATGAATGAAATTCTTCATATTCCAGGCTTACCACCATTACCATCTTCTGATATGATACTGCCAATGCTTGATAGAACAACTCCAGAATACGCATGTTTCTTGGAAACAGCTACCTTTTTACCCAAATCGTCTGGAATCATAATCAACACCTTCAGTTCCCTCGAAGAAGAAGTTCTGAAATCAATTTCTCAAGGAACTTATGTCCAGGATGGACCCACTCCCCCTCTGTTCCCCATAGGACCTCTGATTTCAACTCAGGGTCGAGGAAGAAAGCACGATTGCCTGGAATGGCTAGACAAGCAGCGAAGTGGAAGTGTAGTTTTCCTCTGTTTTGGGAGCTTGGGTCTGTTTTCTGCAGAGCAATTAAGAGAAATTGCTATTGGTTTGGAGAAGAGCGAGAAAAAGTTCTTGTGGGTTGTGCGGAGTCCACCTTCAAAGGACAAAAGCAAACGGTATTTGCCACCGCCGGAGCCGGAGTTGGATTTGCTACTCCCGGACGGTTTCTTGGAAAGAACAGAGGACAGGGGATTGATTGTGAAGTCTTGGGCTCCCCAGTTGGAGATTCTAAATCATGGATCCGTGGGCGGGTTCGTCACGCATTGTGGGTGGAATTCGGTTTTGGAAGCAGTTTGTGCGGGTGTGCCAATGGTGGCATGGCCGCTTTATGCAGAACAGAGGATTAACAGGATATACTTGGTTGAGGAACTGAAGCTGGCTTTACCAATGGTTGAAGGAGAGAATGGATTCGTGAACTCAATTGAGGTGGAGAAACGTGTGAGGGAATTGATGGACGAGGAAGGAGGAGGAGGGAAATTGATCAGGGAAAATATCCAGGCCAAGAAAGAGGAAGCTGAACTAGCAATGGCGGATGGAGGTTCCTCCGTTATTGAACTGCAGAAATTGGTTGATTCCTGGAAGCTATCCCTGTAACTGAGGATGGGAGATTTTACAAAATTACTAATAATTCAAATTTTTATTTATTTATTTTTTTTTTGGGGGGAAATTTCAAAGTGCAAAATGATTATGCTGCCTGCTTCGCTAGTGTCCACAAATTCTTCTTCTTTTTATCTTTTCTTGCATCATGTCCTTTGATGATGATGCTTGTACATTGCTTGCACTTTCTGTGTTCTGTTTTCCCCATTCAGGCTGGACTTTAGGTTGGTCCAACATTGTATAAAACCCAAAAATCGTCACATTCATCTTATGATAATGTTAGTGGCCTCTAATTTCAAGCTTTCAACACCTTCAACCCCATTGATCAAATATCATCAACTCACCTTTGGAACTCCTTCAGGCGCGGCAGAATATCATCATCATCATCAACTTATACAGGTGTTGATTGTTGAATAAATTCAGAATTTAGTTCGATTAGGTGATTCTTGCTGGGCATGGTCTTGTTGTATTTTGTACATAGAAGTTGGATTAGTTGTCATGAGTAAATGTCTTGAAAGTTTGGTATAGCTCGTTGCTCTCCTGATTTGCTTGCATGTTTGTGCTTAATCTATTTTGCATTGCTTAAGAATGTTTATAAAGCTATTATGAATCATAGATTACGAGATTTCCCTTTTTAGTAGTTAGGAGCAAAACTTGGATGTGGCAGCTCATATTTTGTACAGGTTGAAACATCTCCTAAAAAACAATTCTATGTTTTCTTTCTTATCAGAATCTGATAATTAACATCGAGTAACAAACACGTGGTTATTTTATTTTATTTTATTTTTTGAAAAAGTAGCACGTGGCTATGAATATATATATATATATATATAGTATTTTCTTTTTACAAATTATGAATACTGACTTTATCAAATTCTATAGAACAAGAAGAAAAAAAGTGAAATTTCCAAAACCATCGACTTTTCAGTCCGTTTTGATATCGCGACGAAGTTGTCGACCAGGAGTTATAGGTCTTATTAGAGTTGAGAATGGCTATTGGAAAGCAGGTTGGCTTAGTGTAATCAGCATGGACGGTCACGATCAAGTATTTTCACGGAGAAATCAATTTCACATTTTATTTTCAAATTTTGGAGGTTATCATCATTTTGTACGACCCCGAGCGTGCTAGTTCATAACATTGTAGGAATTCGTTTGGTAGAGTTATTATTGCTTAACTTTAAGGTTTTGCCTCCCAATTCTATTAAAAATAGTAATAATTAAAAAAAAAATGATTCCGCCACCAAGTAAACAAGCGTACGTCGACTTTATTGTCGGGATAAGGAGAGAGATGCCGAAGTCGACGAATATTTCTTCAATTTTTTTCCTCATCGAATTGAGTAGCTCAGCTGCGATATGTTTGTTTCACTTGATTGATTTACAACAAAGTACTACTCCAATTTAATGTAACACTTATCAAGTTAGGGTTTTGGGCTGAGGCTTGACGTTTTTTGTTTGTTTTTTTTCTGTCTTGTTCAAAACCAACTCCAGCATACATGTCAAAAGGCAAGCAACTTAATTATACGCCACATATTAGAAAAGCAATTAAGGACGCACTTATTGGGTAATTTGGACTCATCATGTTGCCGTTTCAAATTTTGCTTCCTCGAAACTAACAGGATATTTTTCTAAGGTGTACTCAGTTTTTGCAACTTCTTGTAGCAGCCATTTATTCCGAAATGTCAACAGTTCCGTGTAACATTCAAACGTGTTAGTCCATCTAGAATCTAAGCTTGGAATGTGCTAAAAAAAACTGGAGAAAACAGAAGCCAATCTCTTGAACCATTACTGATCATAATGGCAGAAACTAAGAGGTTTAATACTAGTTGGTTACTTTGTTCTGTGTTCTGTTTTCCCATTTGAGGATTTTTTTGGGTCTAATGGTTACTCATCCTTTTACAGAATTGCAATTGTGAGTGGGTCAAACAAAGGGATAGGATTTGAAGTTGTAAGGCAATTAGCCTCTCAAGGAATCACTGTTGTGTTAACTGCCAGAAATGAGAAAAGGGGTCTTGATGCACTCCACAAACTTAAAGAATACACTGATCTTTCTGGTGATGTGATATTTCATCAGCTTGATGTGGCAGATCCATCTAGTGTTGCTTCACTTACCGAATTCGTCAAGGCTCAGTTTGGAAGGCTTGATATTCTGGTACCAGTTTCTGAATGTTGTTCTGTTTTCTACTTCTACATGTCATTTTTTGTCCTCATAAAGTTCAAATTTTTGTTTCAGGTTAACAATGCAGGAATTGGTGGAGCCAATTTGGATGGTGATGCTTTAAGAGCTTCAGCAACAGCTGCTGAAAGGGTGAGATTTTCATTTTATCTCATTAAATCTGTAGCTTAATTAGTACGAGGAACTATTAAGATCTTCGTTAGTCTTATTGAATGTTTGATGAACACAGACAGGAGCAGCTAAGATCAATTGGGACTTGGTAAAAATTGATCAAACATATGAACTGGCTTTGGAATGCTTGCAAACGAACTACTTTGGCACGAAAAGAATGACGGAGGCCTTCATCCCACTTCTCAAATCATCTAAATCACCAAGAATTCTCAATGTTTCTTCAGCCAGGGGCAAATTACAGGTAAACTTTACTCTGGCAATGTTTACAATTCTGCATTTAGAAAAACACACTTGAATGTTGTCGTGATTAACTTCTGTCCCTGATTCGATCGTCCTCAAATGAAATGTTTCAGAAAATAACAAATGAATGGGCTAAAGGGATATTAAGCGATGTTGACAACCTTACAGAAGAGAGAGTCGATGAAGTGGTGGATGAATTTTTGAAAGATTTCAAAGAAGGTTCCCTGGAATCCAAAGGATGGCCTTCATCCTATTCAGCTTACATCGTGTCGAAAGTGGCCCTGAATGCATACACAAGAATTGTGGCAAAAGAGCAGCCAAACATGAAGGTGAATTGCATCTGTCCTGGTAATGTAAGAACCGATATAAATCTCCACACAGGCATATTGAGTGTGGAAGAAGGTGCTGAAGTGATTGTGAAGCTTGCTCTGCTGCCTGATGATTGTCCTTCTGGCTTGTTCTTCATTAGGGAAGAAGTGTCCGTTTTCTAATCATTGGTACTCCCATTGTCCTCTTTTTTTCTTACTTTCGTGTGCGTGTGTGGAGGGTGGAAATGGAGTACATAGATCTAGCGTTTTTTACTGTTTATATAGGTAAACACACAGTTGAGATTCCATTTTCTTGTGTAACATTTCGCTGGAGGAATTATTAATTTAAGAAGAGTTATACTCCCCCGTTCCAAAATTTATTGATTATACTAAAATTGAAAATTCAAATTTAGACAATAATTTTTGAAACGGGCGGAGTATCTCAAATTTAGACAATATTGCTATATGTCCCTTTACAAATAGTTGTTTACTTTTGAGTAAGATCTTTTTTAATTTTTTAATGTACGCAACAGGATATGATTAATAAAAGAGATATATCTTGAAATAGTACGGATTATGATTATACATCTCTATTGACCGTTAGAATTAGAAAGCATTACATTATTCTAACAGCTTCCCAAGGACTTAAAATCCTGATACATCACGTTTTCACAGAAGCGAATTCGAGTGAATTGCAACATCTTATTATTCCCGTCGTAGGTTAGTTCAGTGGTTAAAGACATAATAACATCATAATTTGTTTTATTAATTAAGTATTTTGATTTTTAGAATTAAGGCTTTGGCCTCTTTCATTACACATAAAAAAGAATCGTAATACTAGCAAGTTTACAACATTCAACAATTTTCAGCTAATACTCTGAATTATTCCTTAGCAAATGTCATAAATAATGAAACTTATAAAAAAAATTGGTAATCAAAAAAACAATTACTTCTTAAATTGATTACCTCATTGAATCGGTCAAACAGCAATTGATTAGCTCATTGTATATATGCATACAAGCGCCGTTGTTGCTACTTCATTGTTTGGCTTTAAATTGTTCTAGTTTATTTTAGAAATGTACTTCAATCATGTGTTTGTAACCAAAACAGAGTAACTTACTTCTTATTCAGCCTTCTATCCCAACAACTAAACATATACTTTTTGTTCCAAAAGAAATAGTTTACATTAAGTTTTGAGATGATCTATCTTTTTAGGACAGAATAAATATTTTTTTTTTCCGTCGCATTTAATTTAACAAAATGAAGTAATCAAAGAGCACGAAAAAAATATGTTTTAAATTAGTTGATACAAAATAATTCTATCAAAATTTGATTGTCATCTCACACATTCACATTTAGGCTTTATAATAATACAAATGCATGTCAAGGTTGACCCGTACATGCTCATATTACTCTAAGCAATCAATTTTTTGGCATGTTTATGGACTCTTTGGAATAACTAGATTAATATTAATGAATTTAGATGGTGTGTTCATCGCCGCGTGACAAAGATTACTGCCCACAATGTACGGGCATATCGGGATCAACTTGCGAAATTGGAGAATAGCATGGTAGCTTTTGATTTCACTATAATGCATTACTTTTAATTCTAGTTTTTATTTTAATTTTTTTTAGTATTTTCCATTTCAGTTTAACTGGATGCCTTACTCTGACGAAGTCATCAATTATCTTCCCGAGTCCTGTCGTGCTGGCAAGGCTATCTGGACCTCCATGACCCCTATAATATTCTTTCATATTGTGGAGTTTCACATGTCTCATAGGGTCATGCGACAATTTGGTTTGGAGCAAAAAGTGCCTAACACGTACTTATTTTAGACGGAAAATTTTCATAACACACTACACAAGTTGAATAGAAAAGGAAGGCCTGGAGTTGATTGGTACACCTACCACCTCGAGTACATCACATGGTGGGACAATAGATTGAATAATTTGGTAGACAGTGACAACGGTGAGCCTACCGATTTGGATTACTTTGAGTGGTATCGGTCACACACTGTTTCAGTTATCTCACGTCCTCTTTGTTCGAATCCTCCTCTATCGGGTTTCCACGGCCGTACCAAGATTCATCGGATATGGGTAAGTCTTTCTAATTTATTATTATTATTTTTATTTTTTTGTTGCTGTTATTCTTTTATCCCTTTAAACTAGAGGCAGAATCCTGTTTGAATGCTACGATAGTATCATAGGGTTAGGATTTGACTATTGGATTAATACTATACTTGTTGACCATTGGATTTATGTGGTTTTGTTGATGATTGTGTTCTCATTGAATAGTGGTATCGTGTGGTTTTGCTGGATTTTTTTGTGTGATTGTGTTTATTGATTGGCCATTTCAATTTAGTAAATAATAGAACTTTAATTGATCATTCTGAGTTTAGTATGAGAATGAAATGGAGGGTGGATGTAAATTAAGGCTGATTTTATATGGAGAGTTATGCTGAGAACTGTTTTTTCCAGGGCAATGTTTTGGCCACATTAACATTCAAGCTTCAAAGTTGGCTGCTCAATTCGAAGGGACAGAGCATTATACCAATTACATTGATATTGCTAATATGGCCCTTAATGCCCCACATTTGAATGGGACGGAACCGGCCCCCTCCTACCCTAGTCATACTCTAATTGAACAAGATTTGAGTCAAATTCAGCCGGGCCATCATCCGCATCGTGCGCGATTCAAGCCTCGTGGTGGGCCCATGGAGGGGGTGGGAGGCAGCCCCGACGACCCCAAAAACCAAAAAAACAAGCTCAACCCCATGGAATTCCTACTCCATTTACACCGCGAGAGGCGATATTTAATTTTGAGTCTCGGCAACTTTTACATGACTTTGGGCAACATTATCAAGAATTCAATCAACAACTATCGCACGACTATAATTTTGGCCCAACGGTTGAGCAAGACAATGATATTGATATGGGTGGTGAAGGAAGTTCAGCCACCTCACACACAAGCTTAAGCATTGGCGGTCATGATGGTGGTCTTGAAGGTGAAATATCTCCAGAATTAGGTCGGGAAAAAGAAAGAAAATTTTTACAAAGTGTGGAACAAGAAACCATTTGAATGTAGATCATTGAGGCTTTGTATATTATGTTTTTTAGTTTAAAAACATATTCACTTCAATTCTAGGTACTTTTGAATTTGTTATTTTGTTGAACGTTATCTTATTTTATAGAATTTTTTGATATATTAGACCCAAGTAAAAAAAAAATTTCTGGAGGCAAAAAAAAAAGAGACTAATTTATGAATTAGAATTTTGAGTTTTCCTTAAAACTTACAAAACCCTCGAACTATACATGTGAAGTTGAAAACTAAATTTAATTTTAAGTCTTATTTTTTCCTAAAATAAATTAATGGGTTTATTTTTTTATTGAGGTAGATCATTATATGACTTTTACAATAAACAAAAATAAGTAATTTGCTTGAGGAATAAAATTTCTTGTTGAGCTGAAAATTATATTTTTTTTACTGATAAAACCAATTTTGGATAAGCGAAATCCGAAATATATTATTTCAGATTCCTAGTATACGAAACGTGTTGTTTCAGACTTAGAGAACTCGAAATGTTTCTATTTTTTCCATTTATTTTCCGTCCCAATTTTTTTATTTGTTTTTTTCTTTTTTATTTCGGATAAGCAAAATCCGAAATATGGTATTTCGGATTCCTAGTATACGAAACGTGTTGTTTCGGACTTAGGGAACCTGAAATGTTTCTATTTTTCCATTTATTTTCCGTCCTAATTTTTTTAATTTATTTTTTTCTTTTTACAATATATTGTTTCGGATATAGGTTATCCGAAATATTAATAATTTCCTGCTTAACACAATATCTTTATTTATGAAATATATTAGCAAGTATTTCGGATATCAAGAAATATATTAGCAAGTATTGATATCCGAAATACATGTATTTCGGGTTTCGTGAATGTGAAAATCACCTACATGCCGACAATTTAAAAATTAAGCCCCTTTCTGTCCACTATTTGAAAATCCATCTCCCCAATCCAAATGATCCGCAATTTACGCGTCAACTTGATGCAGACAGAACAAACGTGGTAGGTCTGGTCTGTACGAGTCTTGAATGTCTTTCATCGGATGATTTCAAAGATGAGAGCAGAGCTCCTTTCCTCCATTAATTGAATCTGATCCCTATCCCTCCAGTTACAATGTACTGTAACGCGTTTTCGTGAACTGACTCTAGTTTGCTCTTATTAATCGAAATTTGATTATTGAAACAACGAATTCATTTGATTCTGATCTATCTAATTAAACATACTAAAAATGCTATTTACTACGTACAGTATGAAAACCTTTCAATTGCTGATGCACCACTTAAAAATGATTCATACTATAATCTTCAGTCCTACAACATATATGCCACCTAAAACACACAACTTTATGCCTCTCATTTGCAAGTCATTGGCATCTAAGCTAACCGTGATTTTCCCGAATCCCGCCACCTAAAACACAAAAAGTAAGCAGAAAAAGTGTTTATGTTTATTCGGGTAATTTGCGTGAAGACAACATCAATATATTCTTGTAGTTTTCTTGCATTTAACAACTTTTATTATTTCTTTTCATCGAAGACCAAAAAATTATTAATTGTTAGAAATTATTAATTTATCGATTATTACTCCGTCTTTTTGTCCCAGAAAAAGAATATACAGTAAGTATATTTTTATTCGATTACATTGCATGAAAACAGAATCAATCTTGTAAATCTCTTGCGTTTAACGGCTTTTTAAAACTAAGTCAATCTCTTAATCTCGAAAATTATCATACAAAACGAGTAAAAACAAAAAAAAAAAAACAAAAAAAATCTCCATCACTCTTCAACTAGTGGATTTACGCGTAAAGCAATAGTTGGACCAATTCACCAATCCGTTCACTAAACCTTCATTTTAATTGATCAAATTGAATTAGTTAAAGCAAACAAATAAAAATCAACTTGCTAGCCAATATCGTCTCCAAGTGACATGCGTTTACTTTGACTCACTAAATAGTTCAAAGTCAAATAAGTCAATGTTTTGTCATATCTTGAAGTTAATCAATTCGATCGATTTATCAAATAATTTACTCTACGATAATGACACCATCTCTTCCAGCAATAATTGATCCTTTAATTGCTCGAGCGGCCCCTTAACTTCCCTTGAAGCTTGGTATAGTCCTTCAAACTTGAAACATAATCTATTATTACATGTGAGAGATGCGTTGCTAAATCACCCAAATCAAATGGATAACATCATTTTAACACGTTATGTGATTTTTCTAAACAGGAATACTTTCAGGAGGAAATTTTTTGCAACTTTTTAAGAAATGTTTGTCTGAGTTTTTTTTTTTTTTTTTTTCCTTTCCTTTTAGGTACAATGAAGGAGGCCAATGACCTAAATACTAAGCGATCACATCACATAAAGGAAGCTCACGACCAAAACATATTCCAACTACGTGAGTGAGATAAAAAAGATCTAACAAGAAAAACACCACTGACGAGTCTAATTATTACGGCCCACGACTAGGCCGGCCCAAGTTCGGCGAGCGGTTCAACCGGTCCCTGAAAGTTTCTAGGACGGTTGCTAATTACTTTCTTACCAAGAAAGGGTTTCACAAACAGGTAACCCTAACTCTATAAATAGGGATCAACCTCTCATATCAAAGGTACACTCTACGCACCACAATCCATACCCCTATTACAATTACCCTAAATGACTTAAGTATCGGAGTGTCTACCATCGGGAGACCCCGAGGCCCTCTTTTGCAGGTTTTAGGGTTTCGATACCGCTATGGCCCCTGGTTCAATTAACTGGAGACGTCGGTACAAATCTATGCTTCGTCAAGTGGCACACCCGGTGAGACTCGATTAAGGTTTTCCTTCTCAACAAATTATCTCGCGAACAAAGAGTAGACAGCTCCAACGTCTCCCTACAATTTGTTGATAAATAATGGCAGTATACGCCCATGAGGTAGAGCAACACCATGTCCAGGTTTATGCTTTTGATTTTCATGCACGATAATCTCCTCCTCTTTATGAATCTGCATGTGTGATATCTTTATTATGATGTCGATTTCAGCCCTTGCAAATAGGGTCAACAACGGTGGGTTTGAGTTTGTCTTCTATTAATCATGCAAAAAAAGCTTATCTTGTTTGCCCTTGCACTAGTTTATCACCCACCAGACAAGACAGGTGAATTTGGTTTACACATGCAATAAACTTGTCTTCATCAAAAGGCTTTAGAAAATAATGCCTCGGTTAAATTGCTTTGCCGGCATACGTTTAAACTTTGGGTATTCAACCTATTCCGGTTATGTGCTGAGATTAATATTTTAAGTTAAACACACCATTCATGTGTTATGTTCTCCTTGATGCATGCAAATTAAGTCCCAATTTCCAGGGAATAAGCTACAAATATGCTTTTATGCATTATGGCAGGGTAATAATCTCGGTGACAATAGCTTCTCGATTGAAGCTTCGATGAACTCCTTGATAAAAACTTGTCGAGGTCTAAATTACTTATTATGGTAACTAGGTTCTATCCATCAATTCATACATTTTAATGTGCTCAATTATTCTTTACATATATCACTATATGAGCCTTTGCTGAACCTTTTTTACAAATGTATGACAACCATGTCTGGACATACATCTGTGACGATCATAACTTTGACATTTTGCCATAATTCTTAAACAAAGTAACTATATTTCAAGTTACTACTAATTCATTACTTGAGCTCTTTTGATAAAAGATAGCGGCAACCTACAGTCTCCGGAGCTCGAGGCCGTGTAGTGGACTATACCATGGAAGAAGAAATTAAGAAGTCATCATAATTGACATGCACAAACTTTTTGCATCAACATCGCCTATCCACAAATAAGCCGATGAAGGAAGTTTCAAACCAAAGGTGGTAAAGAAGAAACGGGTCAAGCAGCTCCTTGAAGTCAATGTTCGCTTAACAGCAACACCTAGACGGAAGTGGAAACAATCCACGCCTAGTCAAACACTATTTAATGAATTTTAAAGTTTAACAATTCATTTCCTATTAATTATATTGGTTATATATGATCTTCTCTTTCGAGATTGTATAATTGTGCGGATTAGCCCTCTCAAAGGAACTGGCAATTCGAGACTGGTGTCAAGACACATCTCTTCAACGGGGCAAGTATCCCCTGAACAACGTACTACTGCTAGGAATATCTGAGATGACGTATCTTGACATCCAACCACTAATACAAACATCCTACTTAAATATAAGGTTGTTCATTACCATTCGAAAGTACAAGCTGAACCACCTCTTCTTTCGTGATCACACGAGGCAGAGGCCCTAATGACGGGCATAGCTCGATTTTTCGAGAGATTGAGGGCACATACAGCCGTGATCACACGAATCTTCCCTATGACAAGAGTGGAGACAATATCCTCGATTGATATGAAAAGAGATAAGTAGCCCTAAACTTAATTATGCCATATTACCATGCAATTCTGGATATACTCTGTAAATAACACATTAAACATGTGTGCCTCCTTCAACGTGCTCTAATGAAATGTGTGTAGTTACGATAACTTACCCGAACTTGGCACAGTTGCACTACTTAGTTTTGTAGGTCTTACCATTCGAGTAGCATCCTTCTTGAATTACAAAGCGACTCAATCCAAGGGGCAATGATTTGCTTGAAAAAAAAGATAAGTGTTAAGTTTTTTCCGACTTTTCACTATGAGAAATTTCACTTCCATTCCAAGACTCATACGTTAAGCGTTTTATCTGAAAATTCTCGCAATGATATATCCTTCGATGTAATCATGAGAACGATATGCAACTTGCATGACAACATTCTTTGATATGCCATATGACTTGTACATACAACGCTGCTTGTCAATTACATGCTCTTCGGATACTAGAGCTTTTCGAATAAATAGTAAATATTTGAAAATCTCGCACATGCATATTTTTGTGTCATCCAATGATCCACTCAACCGATTCATCAAGGCCGAGATGGACTCATAAATCAAGGACCAAGTTTCACTGGCATCACTCTTGTGACTGTAACTTTAATATGCATGTAATGACTGATTTAATGTCTCAAATCACATAGACTACAAGTCAAATAAGTTAACCTATTCTCTGTACATACAATGTGTGAATTTGCTAGTTTTTGTATCATTACATCTATGATCGACTATTACCTAGCCTTCACACA